TCGATGGGGGCCAGTTGAACTGAGCCTTGAAATGTTCAACCCAACGGTCAAGACGGCGTTGCTGATCGTGAATCATTGTGCCATCGGATTCCTTTTCTGTTCTGATTGGCCTGGCCGATCACTTAGAAAGCACATTTATAGCATATTGGATTTGTAAATCATAAAGAACGGACAAGTACAGTTAGATAGGGGCTAGTGGAATTAAAAAATATAGGTCAACTCCATGGCAAGTGATTTGATTGGGCGCACAGAATGTAATCTGATTAGCAAAGCCTCACTCATTGCAACAGTTTTGCATTGCAGTTACTTAACAACGGTTTGAAAGAGGAAGCGAGATCGATTGTGTTTGGCTGTCATGAGGTGTTTTGCAATTGATGACCCCGGGTGACGCGTGATTACTGGGCGTGGGTTGCGTCATCGACTTCACCAACCTCTTTGGAATGCGTTCGGAGATCCGCTTGGATAATTGACGGTTGGTTCTGCCTATGTTTACCTCACCTAATTGTGCGTCACCCAATGTGCTGTAAATGTGCTCGTTTGTTTTACGTCAGCCATTGAGAAAATTAAACGAAATGTTAACATCTCGCGACATACGTCTTCTTTCGGTCTTGATACAATGGATAAAGAGGACCCAATGTTTCAAATGGTTAGAAAGCCCTTAAACTCAGCCATCTAACCTGGCTACTACGAAGTCGACCGCGTCAGTATCTTTACTACGGTCCAGATATTAACAAAGAACCCCTACCCCTTTCCGCCAAATCAAGCTGCATTTATCCATCTGATTGTGGATGCATAGCCTCTTTCGCTTTCCGTGGTTCATGTTGTCCGCTGAAATTAGCAATCTGATCTCCCTCTTGCGTTCGTTATTTCACCGACTTTAAAAATCATCTTGACTGTAGTAGTATGTGCGTGTACAGCTGTGGAGAAATGATTGTGGATATATTATATAAACTCATGTTCGTGACGTCTATATTTAAAGTTGCGACAAGAAAACAGTGTTTCAAGGCAGTTCAAACCCGACTGATTATTGCAGCTCCGGGTTACATACGTTATCCTTTGCGTTTGGTAAACATCCGGTTGTAAAGTAATTGCACCACGACTACATCCGAATGTAAAAATAAATGATTCATTCAGCACGCCAGCATCATAATCTGCTACTTTTGCGTTCTATTCATTTTAAATGACGGTGTGTAATAAATTAAGGTGTTCAGGATGAAATATTCACCATCTGGGTAACTCTCTCTCTCTCCGGGAGCAAAGCTCACTAATATTAATTTAAAGAGGGCATTGAGCCACCTTGAAGGGCAAAAATGGATGTCAGCTTTGACAAGCACCACATTCTAATTAGGTGAAAAATTGCTATAAACACACATTTCCTTTTCCGGATGTTTTTATGTATCCTAAAATGAGAAATCACCGAACTGAGAATCGCATTCAAACGAGGAAGTCACCAGACATCAAGATTCATAATCGGTATAAAAATCTTGTTTACTGGAGGGATTTCAACCTGGTCACATCGAAACGAGAGACCAAACAACCATAAACAAACCAATGAGTCTGACCCTAGTAGCAACACTATAAATACGATGGTACACTGTCTAGTTTTCGTAATTTAAAGGGCGCTTTGAAATTGCACACTTCATGGACTTTCATGTTTAATGAATGTGGCAACGAAACAGGTGTGTCAAATGATTGCGGTGCACGCACCTGATTGACCCCCTCAGGTGACATATCAACTGTGATTTGTTTCCAATCTATCCTTAATCAATCACCACGCTTTGTTAAAGATAACCACTTAATTTTCCGTCGACTCTTCTGACAGAAAGTTTGAACAAAATAATCTTTTGATTTTCTATTGTACACATTTTCGTGATGAATAGAAGACGGGTAAACCCCATAGTCCTCGGAAGAGCAGAGCTGTATGCTACCGAGCGCGTCTCCAGGTCGCGGATAGGGGAACGG